GTCCCCTTGAATATACCTACGTACAAGGTTAAAAGTAAACACTCATTTTCGAGTTTCGAGTTTCATGCAGTGCATAATAATGATATATGAATATAAATACCTGAGTTCGGAGCTTCACCGTTGTTGGGCCTGGCGGAAGGCGCTCCGTCGCGGGCCTCGACTTCCAGAGCGTATGCGCCTTGCTTTTCTCTGTCAAAAACTATTTTCGTAAACACCTCGCCAGTTTCCGAGTTTATTTCGAAATAATCTTTTCCCTCATTCCGTGGTGAATCGACCACAAAATAATAAACCTGCATCGGATGAAACATAACAATAAAGTATTTGGTTTTTCAATCGGCAATAGATAACAGGCACGTAGCCAGGATTTTATTTTTTATTTTTTTTTTTTTTTGGAGGGGTGGTCGAAATTAATTGTTAGTACAATTTTTATACTTAATTGATATATAAAACCTTTTTTTTTTATTAGCTGACAAATTAAAATCAAGTTACAAGTTACAATACAATACAAAATACAATYTATTATTATTTAAAATTTTYCACTGATGTAGTGATGTCTATAATATTAATTTTCTGTTTTTTTGAGCCATTACATCCAGCACTTCGTCTGTAGAGATAGACACTTCCCAATGTACTGACAGAAGAGCAAGTCCCGTTAAACGCTCATTTCCAGTTTTGTTACGAAGCAATGTTTTTAAGCGTTTTAGTGTTGAAAATGAGCGTTCAACTGCTGTTGTTGTGACTGGTACTGATGCAAAGATTTTCAATAAGAAATGTATGTTTGGGTAAAACTTTGCATCACATGCATCCAAAATATCCATAATTTCAGTGGGGTTTTTTCTACATTTACCCATTTTTCACACCATAATAAAAATTCAGAACAAACCACTTTTTCCGATATACGATTTTCGTAAAATATATTTAAATTTTTAAGTTTTGAAACATTTTCGTTTAAGGCAAATTTTGGCAATAAGATTTCAATTGATGATAAAACAACATTGTTTTTGTTTAAAACGGTTTTCCAAATTTAAAATGAAACCGTCTATCGATGGTACAAATATCGATGTTCTATAGTATTCTTCCGGTGTGTTACAATCATAATTATCTCTGTGTTTTTGGTTTTTTATAATGCTTGGACATACAATTTCTGAATCAAAATATAAACTATGAAACCCAATACGAGATTTCCGATAACATGTACAAATATCACATATYTGCGATAATATTGTACGATAATAATTGACGTTATACGACGTTATTGACGTGACAGTGTGTCGGCCGTCGGGTCTCCGCGATATAATTCGACCCATAGGGCCATAGATAATAAMATTTGACCGTTCTATAGTGGTTTATTTTTGTAATACAACACAATAACCTTTTTTTGAATAACACATATTTTATTTTTATTTTTATTAAGACCCCATGGACCCCCCCCCCTGGATACGTGCCTGCTAGATAAGTATATTGGGTATAAGCAGTCTTGTAAAGTATACTATTGTTTTGTATTTCGAAAAAAATTTAAAAATATATATTCAGAATATAYATCATTCGAATACATTTTAAGTGGTATTTGAATAATTTTTGAATATATTGTTGCTCGACAATTTTTTTATCAGTTTTGGAATGGTTGGAGATTATAATGTGTCAGTCACATTTCATTCAGAAATAAAAATAATATTCTACATGATCAATTTATAATGTTATGCCAAATTTTCAATAGATAAATTTGATTTATCACAACTATTAATTAGTTTTTGACGAGTTAAAATGAAATATTTATTAATTAATAAAATAAAACAAAAAGTTATAGTTTTATTTCATATGATCATTCATTATAGCCATGCGCTCTCTTTGAAATCGCAAAACATGGTATAAAAATTGGAGCAACACAAATTATTCGTTCGTCATATCCAATATTATCTACCAGATGAATATGTATGTTTAACTATGGTTAGTAATAGGTTAGGTAGGTTATTAACATATGAAAATGTCGCAAAGAACCCTTAGAAAACGTATTTAAAATAAAAATCAAATAGAAAAGAATATAATATTAGATTTCAAATTATAATTTGTTAAATTATATTATAAATCGATACAGTTCAATCATATTGAGAGTTTATTCTCTAATATATATCAAGAATATCAACAAAATGATTCCTTAGAATTGCATTTTKTCGTTTAATTGAAATTTTAAATCGATATTCTTGAATTTATCGTAAAAAAATGCAATTCCAGTAACTACTTTAAAATACAATTGAATACTATTCAATACAAGATAACAAAATATTTCAATTTATTTTATTTGAATGTTTTATACATCACTGTCAAACGATAAAATTGGATTTATTTTTTAATATTTACGTTATCATAAGAACGTTGTAACTTTTAACGATCATGATATCCACCTATAACACAAATTCTCAACAAAAATAAACTGAATGCATTATATAAAAAAATATTATTAGTAACAATAATTGGTGCAATGGTACTTATTTTAGCACTCTCCTYCTAACGAATTACGTTTTTGATTTTAAAAGGTTTTAAACAAAATGTGTATACATGGAAAACATTTTCGCACGAATTTTTATAATTTTTTTTTTCGACTGTTCTTATTGGATTACATTTTTAAATCAGAGAAGTTACAACAAAGTGGTTGTTGAAAAATCGTGTAAATAAATAGCAGTAGTAATACGAACCCGGTTATTCGGRAACGTGCCATCCTTGTCGATCGCGTTGACTTGGGTGACTTTGGTGCCAATCGGCTCGCCTTCCAGAACAGTCTCTTGTTCCCGTTCGGTGAACAAAGGTATTTCGTCGTTCACGTCTTCCAGCATAATGTACACTGTGGCTTCAGATGCAAGTTGTTGAGCTCCATTGTTCTGCAAAAATCGAAACGAAATCAAATATAAAAATTTCAAATACATTATTCCAATATAAGTATTGGTACTTGAAACAATCGDCACGCAACCAAACAATTGATCGAGTTAGATACTATTCTTGAACAATTTTATTCATTTGAATAAATTTTATTTYAGAACCACTGTTTGAAAAAAGTACCAATCTCAGAATATTGTTTGCCCACATGAGTGAGCTTGAGGTTAGAGGGGGTATGTCAGTATACCTATAATACTGCTATTAATTTATCTCATACGGGCTATACAGATGTACACATAATTCTTCAAAGAACATTTCGAATATATTCTAAAAAGAAAGCGTCATGATTATTACCTATAAGATGTCTGTTTCGAAAATATTTGACAAAATGTAAGTAAGAGTTTTGGATCGAYAAATTCGTGCTGTGTGAGGGCTAGTGTATTAGAAGTTCTAGGGCAATACCACTATGGTAATTCGTTGTATCATCACCCGAATCGTTCACGGACCGATCGATGCGCATATTATGAATACAAAAATGTAGTTAGGTGTWTAAATGTAGTGTTRTGTCTACATAGGGGGAACYAAGTCCGCCAAGACATTACCTTATCTTATTTGAGCTATCTATGATAATGAAAAACGAATATGAAGAAGAAATTTAATAGATAATTATATAGGAATATCATCAGTTATCAAATTCATAAACGGATATGTGATGTGGAGAATAGAGGATGATAATAATATAAACAGAGCAGTTCTAGAGTGGAATCCAGGGGGAAAGACCCCGCGTGGACTAGTCAGAAGAAGATATTTGGATGTTGTGAAAAAAGATATTAACAAAATGGAAGTAGGTACTTATACAAGAATAGAAAGAATCGGTTCGGGATCAAGAGAAACTGAGAGAGATCGTGACAGTGACGAAAACTCGTATAGGTAGTACCTATAATCCATAGAACAGGACTACCACTAGGTATAGGTGGTCATACTAACCTCCACGCGAATGGTCAAATTKTATTCCTTGATCGTCTCGTAGTCCAGTGGATGATTGACCTTTATGTCAGCCCAAGTGAAACCGTTGTCYTGCCTTTGTTGTAGATAGAACGTGTGGAATTTGTTCGTCTGCGCTGTGGACCCCGGCATCAGCCGATAGAACACGGTCGGGTTTCCCTCGATGCCCGAGCTAAAAACATCGAAATCTCAAATCAGTAAGTGCGAGGGCACGGTCGAACGATGGGACGCGCAGTCCGTGGTGGGGTTTGTCRGCTTTCGTATTCGTTGTACGGCGAAACGACGACCCTATAATATTTATCCACATGGCGTGACGAAGGCGACGACGACGATCGTCGTAAGTACAAGAAGGCACTATCGTCAATTCGTCATATTATTATTACATTAGACAAACATGATGATAATACTATGATACGCAACTGGAAATCGTTTTTCGATGATTGCATAGACGACGAATATAATATATTTTGGACGAGCATAATATTATGGTAATATTTACCTATATAACCATACGAATTTTAGAACATACGACGTGATCAAAATATAATATGAGAGAAATTGGTGATTGATAGTGCAGTAACACGTAGTAAAATTACTATCATAATAATATGAGAAGACAATAATATTTGGCAATATGTTATATAATCGTAGAACGCCGTTTAAACTTTTTTTATCATTCGGAATTAATTGTATGATAATATTATTGTTACGATGATTGATCGGCGTACTTAGATGATTCGGCATAATAATATTATCTACAACACTACATTGTCGTTTTTGCGCGACATGAGGTCATGTCGAATTGACCGCGACTGTATCGACTGAACTCWATTTATCAGTCTGTTCAAAATAAAACGTGTTATGCGAATTATTTCGTCTATGATGGGTGCCTAAATTATTCGAATTTGTAMAAAAACAAAAATCGTWACATACGATGAGCCACGTATTATTATGATATATTAATAAGTCTTATGACAGGCTCGTGTATCGGTAATTCTCTATATTATATTATATCAAGTGATATTCTGTAAAAAAAAATGTATATACATAAATATATATATTATATATTATGCCATGCACTCGTAGAAAAAGTTTTTTGAGCGTACAAAAACAAAAAATTGGATGAAAATCAAAATTAAAAAAAAAAAAAACGAATGGGACATTAGCAAAATACAAAAGACAAAAATAAAACAAAAAACGATCTTCTCTGCGTATTCATTATGCAATAAAGCAATAAACTTAGTATGATACAAAAAAAAATAACAAAACATAATAATATTTAATTTTATGTAGGTATATTGGTAATAATATAGCGATATGAAAAAAAATAAAAAATAAAACCAACCAGACATGCCAAAAAACAATATTGTGACTGGTCAAAATCAAATAGGTTCACAAAATACAAAAATACAAAAAATAAATAAAAAAACGAAAATGAAAAATACACTTATGAAGTATTATCTAAAAAAAATTTTTAAGAAAAATCAAAAAAAAAAATCAAAGAATAACATTCATTGTTTCCGCTGAGGTAATTTTTTCTCGAATACTCGAAACAACAACTATTCCAACTGTGTAATTATAGGTACCTAGATTATTATTTTAATTTATTTCGTTAGAATAATATGTTTGATCGTCATCGTCGGATGTCGCGTTTCGAATTCGTTAAGGAAAACGAGCGTCATTCGACCAAGTTATACCTGGGTATAAAATAAATAATCATTAAAATTGAGTGTTCTGTTAACATATAATTATATCGTGTGATATTTCCAACACCAATTCCCGTAATTTCCACTAAATGTGCGTACCTATAGGTTGGTATAATTATTATARTATRCATGATATTGTTATAGTGCTTGTCGGTCAGACAACAAGACAATTGTGTCGGATCTATAAAATGCAGTGTGATTTACCAAGCGTCCTCGCCCTTTCCCCCCCTTTTACCCTTCAACAATATGCATTTACTCTAATTCTGATTTTTGAAAGTTTCAATAATAGGTATATGTATCTACTGAGATTTTCTGTAACACGTCARGAGTGTGTCCAGTGACGATACGTACTTTTGTTTTTCTGAGAAATGAACACCTCCACTTTTTACAGCGTAAATAATTATTAAGAAGATAATTTTTTTTTWAATTTTGATAAACCTAAATCAAATAATTTTAACAAGTGGTTTCTGARTTATATAAATGTTTGAACCAAGCATAAAAATATAGTCMTTAACAAATGGTTTTGATAAAATTAATGTTTCAGTTATAGTAGGTAGGTACTACCTATGTATTATATTCTGGCAATTTTCACAGCTATTAAGAAATGTCAATAGATTAATATGAATGAATGCAATTATTTGCATAGCATTAATGTCTCTGCTATGTCCACTAGGGTCTGTAAATATCCTTAATGAAMAATGTTCAATAACTCAGAAACAACCACTACCTAGTTAAAACTCTGATAATGATACATCAACATTTAAAAAAATACCATAGTCTTAACAAATTACCGTAAAAAAGTGTCGTTCTCGTTTTGAAAAACAAACTACGTTAGTTCTCGCCACAAGACACTCATTTAAAGTGTATAAAAAAAAATCTGAATAGATAGTTGAATACAAAAATATGGTACTTAAGTATGTATCTATACCTAAACTTCTCAAAATCATAATATTTTAAATAAAAGCATTATAGTAATAGCGAGTTCACAAACACGGGGTTGAGCTTGATAGACAAATTTTCCCGAATATTATCGTACAATATGTTATGCAATAACAATCAACTTGGGAGTATTGAAAAGTAAAAATTACCCCGTTAATTTATTAATATTTATAATTATTACTATTATAGAAATTTGTAATTTGTAGGTTAGTATTATTAGTAGTAGGTATCTATCGCTGTGAGTGCAGAGTGTGTTGTGTGTGTGTGGAGATTAATTTACGACGATTTGTCTCATGTTTCTTAACGGATCTCAATGAAAAAATAAGCATCCTTAATCGAATAGTCAGAAAGCCGAACGATTCGAGATAAACATAATATATAACAGGTCATATAATATAATAMATTTAAATCTATTTCGATCGTTCGTGTTCGAATTCGAACGTTTATACGTATAATACCTATCGTTATCGATGTTCGAACAAACTGCGGAAGAATCAATGAATGGTAAAACATAAAATAAAAAAAATCATATAATAATATCCATAACGGCGTACATAATAATATTATGATACGAAATATAGCAACAAAAAAATATATATCAACTAAAATCGAACGAAAAAAACCGATCTCCGTTTCGACGAGATCCGCACATACACAACGTGCATTGTTTAGTGCGGACGTGCAAAATATAATATTATTATATTGTCTTGACCTGCATGCGTTGTTTTGACGTTTAGAGACGCACCCGGAAATCGATACGATAGGTCGGATTGCTCGGGGATCTCGAAATGACAAAACAATAWWATTTAACTAACCATTGAGTCGAACGCAGGCACAGGTATATAATGTATTTATCTATATAATACCATTAATTATTATTATGGGTCGCGAGATGTACAGAGGTTAAATCGTGCGTAGACTTAAATATAATTCTAGACTGTAAAATTTTTTATTTGTTGATGGCCTGAGCGCAACAGTGGAGTCCTATAATCGTATAGTAAAAAGACGACGATAGGCCGCAACTGTGACACATGAAAACATTTTTTGATTATCTCATCATTGGCTTTTATAAATTTAAAAAAAAAACATTTCATGGGATATCTAGGCCGCTGTTGCGCTCAACCCATCGTTTATCAAAAAATATGAAGCTCGATATTCGGTCATTATCATAATAGACGGGGTTTTCCGCAAAGAATGAACCAATAAGGGCCATTTACACTTTAAAGCTACCATTAAATGGTATTTACATTTTCAAATCGATAAAGTGTGGAAGTTTTTTTCGGTTTTTGTATGCTCTTGTCACGACCTGCTAGAACATCACTTTGATTTCATCCAATAAAATATTATATTATACGGATATTGAGTATTGCAATGTTACAAACGTGGTTTGTAAAACATTGTGGTTGGTTTGAAATAGACCGGACAAAGTCAGGAGGGTTACGTTAAGTTGGCACACTCTAAAAATAAAACCGGGCCTGAGATGCCAATTTGGAAGTTTATGTTGCAGGGGGGGGGGGCTACAACTTCACGGATTTGGTCAACTCCAATTGTGGGGGGCACCAGAAATAATGAGTTAGAACGAGTTTGGCGGGAATAGGGTAAATGCCCCACCACCAAAAAAATAAAAATAACAAATATAACAAATTTACGACTTAAGGTTGGGCCACACGGAACATTTTTAAGCGAATCCTATACAATATGACGAGCTATATTGTTTTAACAATATCATCTGTTGCCCGTACAAATTTATTAAAATTCAAAGTTGATTCTTTGTGGAACTCCCTGTTTAATATTTATATAGGTTGGACGTGATTCGTGAATTGGAAAATAAATAATAATAAACGTTACAGTCAATCGCGCCCTATGCATCATGAAAATACCATTAAATTTTATATAATTAATACTTCGATGCGTTGCGAATTCTACACGCGTTGTCCGTCCTCTGTACACATCGTACCTATAAAATATTATATAAATAGTACATTATATATCTATAAACGGGTTAAAAGTAATAATATTATAGAAAAAAAAAATCATAAAACCGACACGATTAATATTTTAGCGAGATAAAACAATATTTTATTATATTGTCATATAATACGCAAAAATGTTACGATTATAATTGATTCTGAGCGAATCGAGAGGGTGGTTTTCGATCAACTTACGTGTCTGTGGAGGGGTTTTTTAGGCGTGAACTCATAGAAACGCATTGTAATTGTGAATGGTTTTTTTTTTCAGACAAAAATGAGCAAATTATTGAATAATTAAGAATAAATTCAATTTAGTAGTCAAGTTAAGCGGACACAAAGTCATTGGGTGTAAATCAGAAGTCAATCGTCGTTATAAATTTAATTTGTTAATAATTTTAAGTTGATAATAATATTATGAAAGAAAATATTTACTTAACTCGGTTTAAGAAAAGCCAACCTTTATGTTGACTTAGGGGTGCTCTTTTAATTAATGCACCCACGTGGATCACAATTATTTTATGCCTATCCGTGATACATAATATAATTTTGTGGTATCATGAAACAAAAACTATATTATTATTATTTTCACCATTACTGTTAATATGAATATTTTACTGTTATTAGTTAAAACCGTGTACACAGTAATCCTATGTAATATTATATAATTAATGTATAAAACCATCAAAAACAACAATTTCGAATATTTAATTTAAAAGTTGTATTTGATTGAGTTCTCCAGTTAATTAGAAAATCCACTATAATTATCCAGTCAACTTTATTAACTACCGTMAATATTAATTGTTGTGCTCAATGATTATGATATTACTATGATAATAGCGATGAACATAATATTATATAAGTCAAAATTTATGAAAACCGTCGAGAATTCCGCTATGGGGTGTTTCAAATGTTTCGCTCAGAACCATTYGGTTTGTTCGTTTTTAAAATATTAAATCGTTCGTTTTTGATTTTTTTCTTTAGTGCCGTGCAACAACAGTACATAATATTATAGTTTTGAACATAATAATAATATTTAATACTATTACTGCATTCTGACGTACAATGCGCATCATAATTACAGTAACACACATAATAATAATATGTCACAATATTAAATCGTTAAAACATAAATGTATTATATATATATATATTATTATTATGATTTGAGTATAGTTTATTTTGTTGTGTGGAAATTATTGTTGGACCGACCTGGCTTTAATAGATACCACTTTTGCCCCGACCGGCTTGTTTTCTTTTATGTAGATGGGCCCGTACACGACGTGGTCCCAGACCGGTGGGTTGTTGGCTCGGTCCACCACGTCGATCTGGACCTCGACACTCCGAGACAAAGGAGGGTATCCCTTATCTTGGGCAGTGGCTTCCAGCTTGTACGTCTCGCGCTATATATATACACACGCCGTAACGGTATAGTCACACACGCACATCATTGGTGGGGAACAACACAAAAATAGGTAGGTACAATGATATAATAATACGTCATCACGATGTATAGACAATACATCTTGTACACACATCAATATATACATATTATGAATGGGATATATAATATATAATTTTAAGGTTGTGTCAGTCAGAAAAATGATAAGAGCGATAAACGACAACTTGCTAGGTACGGGGATATGTAAATATTCGAAACATCGAGTTTACACCATGATTAAACGGCTAGGTGAATAACAGTATTCAATTGGTTATAATAATTAGAGCACGGACTTATCTGAGCAATCACATCATTTTTCTTTTTCACTTTTTTGGATTTTTGTCATTGTCTTCGCGCATCATAATAGTTTGAATTTAATGGTGAAATTTGGTTATTGCATATTTTTTACAAAATTCGAAACGTATTGCATATTAAACAAAAAATTTCTAAAATAATATTTAGTAAAGTAGAGGAATAATAAAAATATTTTTGTTGACATTAAACAATAACTGAAATAAAAATAAGACGAATAACCGATTACGATGAACGTTATTTTGTTTGTACCTGATTTTAAAAATATATTAAGTTGTTCGGTTTTTCATTAAGTACCTATTTAAGTAGTTGATTATTATAAGTTGTTTAATTTTCAAACCAAAAAAAAAAAAGTTTAAAAGATTTCCTCGCATATTTCTATGATTTTTATCGTATGAAAATCCGTGCTCTAATTATAGTAATAGAAAATTATTACCGAATAATAATTTTATAGTCTGGCCCACACAAACATATCTTAAATATTATCATCTGTAATATACGAAACACTACTGGACCAGTGGTAAAATTTGTAATATAAACATCCTTATCATTTTTCTGAGACACCTGTTGCAAATATTGTCTCGATGCGATACAAAATACTTTTGAATATATTTTAAATATTTATAAATATATATATATATTGATATGTATTGATATTGTTTTATATATGCCAATTTTGCTATCGTCATTTATAGTCACACCATAATATATAATAATAATAATAATAATAATAATAATTTATTGTAATAACAGAATAACTAGGTATACGACAGTAGAACGGATGAAAATTAATACTTTTGCATCATCCACACACGGGATAGACCTATTACCTATTCAGTTACCCATAACATGTATGTATAGGTACTATATTTATRTTATATTCCGTACACATAACTTCAGTAGGTATAGGTAAATACGCCGCAAACGTTAAAATACCTGCCATAATAGTGTTATTATTTAACCACGCGACGTCATGGGTATACACGAGTACTACCGGAACGGACGTCTAAACACGATAAAGCTCTCGCGGCGTAAACGGCGGGTAGGGGTAGGGCGGTTGAGGCCAGGAATACAAACCTGGCTTTGACTGAGATCACAATGGTACTGATTGTGACATTCTCTTTGATGTGTGTAGGACCGTACACGCTCCGCTCCCACAGAGGAGGTTTATTGTTCCGATCAACGACGTCTAATTCAATATCGACCTCAGCGTACGACGGTGGATCACCGCAATCCGAAGCTCTCACGCGTAGACGATACTTTTCTTGCTACATACACAATACCAAGGCCCCCGAAGTTAAGTTATAACGTATGAAAACAAAAACAAAAATAAATAAATGAGTAAACAAAAAATACAAACAAATTATAAATAAAATGACATTGAAATGATAAAAAAAATAAAACATACAAAATATTAAATCTGCCACAAAAGAAAAATCGAAGCAAAAACAATAACAGTAAACATAATATACATATTATTTGGATATAAATAATATGAATACAACACGATACAGACATAATATTATAATGATAATAATATGATGTCGAGTTAGTCGTCGGTTGGTGGTCGGTAGTCGGTCGGTTGTCGGTAGTCGGTTGGTAGTCGGTCGGTAGGAAGTCGTATCTATGCGTTCTATAAGTTATTATATATATAAGTATAAGAAATTCTGTACGCTATTCGGAGGTGACCGCTATTCAGAGGGTTCAGAATGTAGAAAACTTGTTGTTGGTCCCCGAGAAATGGCCCGCTAATGGGAGGTGTCTATTAGGAGAGGTTTCACTGCGTGCTTACAAAATTTTTGCGAAACAGGTAAGGTTTGGGAGTAAATGGAAAGAACGTTTTTGGGTGAAACTGGCTACGCCCTCACGCGCTTATGTAATATTCAAGGCGAAAAGCGGCTCAGGCCTTGGCTTTTGTCGGACAATTTATCATGACGATATAAAGAAAAAAAGGTGTTTTGAATTTTGATTAGACCAAGCTGCACCAGAGTATCAACGACAAATGACGACGACGTCTTTTCCGTTTTTATTTTTTTGGCCCTGCGCGATTTCGTTTAGTCGAAAAAAGTTTACCGTCCGTCGTCGTAGGTATTACCATGCTATACCACTACGCGCACGATACTACCCTTACCCCATCTACCCTTATATTCTCGACCACAACAGTTTATATATTTCACGTCTTATTTTCCGTCCGTTTCTCCGGTCCGGTGGAGATTCCCGCTCAAAGCCGCGGATTACGGTGGGTGAGGGGGGGGGGCTTTAGCTATGTATAGCACGATGTAACACCACCTACAGCTATAACCCTAGGCGGCTTACAAACGAATCAACCAAAGTGGTTTTGCTGGCGCCGTACGGAAAACYGAGATCGGAAACGTTATCGCTTTTGTGGGTGTTTAGAAACGAAAAAAAAATACATCACTTCGATATTGTTCGAGAAAAATCGTGTTCTAAACGACATTTTGCCCAGTACAGTGCCACTGCGTTATTTATATCGTTCTATCACCGACTCGTTGTTATCGCAACGTTTGAGACGTTAAAGAGTTGGTAGGCTGCACATCGTACTCGTTACTATATCGACAACTGACAAAGTTTTTAGTTTTAAAACGCAATCGTCGTTTTAATCGAAATTTGAATTGYTATAGCGACTATAACGCGACAGGCACGATTGGACAATGACAATAAATTTCACGAAATTTTCCAACTTCTTTATGGGTACTTATCTATATAGGGACTTTGAAGTCACAACGATAGAATACAATCATTTATATAATGAGACTATTTACATCGAAACAGTTACAGTTTTTAAGTTATTTCATATCAGGCTTACCGCCGATATTATATGATTATTTAACTCTCGGGTGGAATAATGAAACAATATGACGAGATTTTGTTGACATATTCGTCACTAATGTTACAATTCTGGTTTTTATTTGGGGGGGGGAAGGACTAAATCATAGTAAGGTAGAAAAGTCCTGTATTTGCACCAATGATTTTAAACGATCAAGTGTTGGTTGTCATCGTTCTGTAAATGTTAAATAATAGTATTGTATGTGATCGGTCAGAAGTCGTTGTACCTACGGTAATTATTATTATTATGACGTACATGCTAGATTTCAATGTTTACATAATAATAAATTATCCTAAAAATGATAAAAAAACAAATTCATATAAAAMWCAATAAATTAAGACGGATTTCCATAAAGCACTGAGTATAATAAAATATAATCGACGATTATATTATTATATTATGTTATTCAGTTATGTATTATCATCACGAGCGCGACACTCGTGTAATAATTTCGTATCTGAAAACATGCTTTGGAGGTGTTATTATAACATGAMTTTATATATGCGGACAATCACTGCAGTCGACGCATGCTGTAAACTGAAGTAAATCGCAGACAAGCATCATTCGCACTCAAATAATACAACTCAAACAAAACAACTATGTGTAATGTCAATTTTAATTAGTTACAGCAGTACAGCTAAGTATAGGTAAGTATAATACCTATATGTTTACTGAACTATTCCATTATCGTTCACACATGTAATGATAAATTACATTATTTCATATGTATTTATATGTATTCGCGTATGTAAACGAAACATTTCAAAATATTAACTTGATGAATTATTTTTAAATCAACCGAGAAAAGCTTAGTTATCTCAACTGTTTATTAAACTAGTTAAGTTCATATGTTGGCTAGAAAATAAAATTATTAACTTAACTTTAACTTTTTAACTAGTAATTTGATAAACAATATTATTACATGGACATAACATAGTCCTAATATTTTAATGCCCACAAAACCTTTTTAATATTTCTATAAGATTGATGGTGATGGCGCGTAGGCACTAGAAAGTATAAATAGGTACGGCGTATAAAAAATATAAATATACAACTTTCAAACGTTATCTACAATCGAATGTATCGGAGGCGAATGTTTCTAATGGAATAGTTCTGTAATCGTTGAACCGGAAATGTTGTTAAAATATAAATATTATACAGTGATATCGAACTCTTTTTGGTGTATAATATTGTGTATAGATATCATGAAAGGTGATCCTTTTAAGTGCTCACACGCATTATTTAGAAGAGCCTTAATATTTTTTTTTAAAATATTTTTTTAAATATAATTCGATGGGATTTCAAAAAAAATAATGTCTGAAAATGACTTCAGACTATTAAAATCAAGTTTAGGACAAGTATAGTATTTAGATATAAATATTTTAACTTAATATTAGGTAGTGGGCAACATATTGATAGGCAAGTACCTACAATATTGCACCATTCTACTTATAACGACTAAAATAATTAATAAAAAAAAATATATATATTATTTTCAGAAAGGCCTTCAGATTTTATATAATAAGTTGAAACTTTTCAAAATAATAAGTATAACACTTAAACGGATCATTCTGTTTGTCGAAAGACAAGTGCTGTATCAAAAAATGCTGAAACCTGCAGACTCAGAGTGTCTATCGCCACGAAAAAAAACTGTACGTTGTGTAATCACTGTTGTAGTGATTAACTATTTTTATATTTACGTAAAATTGACGAGAATTGTGAAGAGAAAAACTAACGATGCTTGCTCGCATCACGCGTTTGCTCGAAAGACTTTTATCACTTTTTTATATTTTTATTACGGTCAATATCTTAATGAAATTTTTAGAAAATGTAAAATGATGAAAATCTAGCAGTTGGTACCCACGTGTTATTACCGTGTTGTTGACTGTTGATTGATTATATGGGATAATTTAGAAAAGGTCATTAACCATGTTGACGCAGATCGGCTGTTACAAAATTCCTACTATACTTCCTGGTCGTGCGATTTTAGAGTAAAAATCGATATTTTATTAATGAAATAAAAACTAACCTTTTTAGGGGCATATCATTTCAATTTTCTGCTAATCACGTCAAACATATTTAGTGATAGGTAACGCAGCTATAAAATCCATCATCGTTACATATTTTTAATGACGATAAAAATTCAATATTTATAAAGAGTATGAAATTATTAGCAGAGAATAAAACGCTGCCAATATGGGATAATTTGGAGCGAGGAGGATTAAAAATTTGTCGAGTTTGTCGAAAGATAGAKCTGAATAATCAAGAAATATGGATCGACGTAAATATAGGAGTAATAATACAGATGTTTTATTACTCCACAGCTGCAGGAGAGGATACTGCAGTGATCGAGTCCTTATGACATTTTATTTTTGAATATTAAAAAAAAAAAAAAAATTATAATAATATAATGAATATTATTATGTTTAAAAATTGTGTCTTTTTAATTTTTTTAATAGGTGCCTATCTCACTTTAACAAGGCATCAATCAAGCATATACAATATGATGGTTTTAAAATCTGTTATAGCCGATCTTCGTCAACACGTATCTTCACGTATATTAGGTACCAACAATAACCAACAATAATAATTGTCGGTGATAMGTCCTTTACAAAGTCACTACTTTTACACGTGTAGGTATTTACTTATGAGATCTTGTCTATATATTTATATTATATTATTATTATAAAATAATAGTACCTATGTCTCGAGCATTTTTCGAACTGTGCACAACACCGCGGTTTCGTATTACAACATTTCCGGTTGACTATACTCATATAATTGATAATAAAATAATACTACTTCTACATAATATCGATAAATGCCACAATCATACGTAGGTGTACTTGGCATTTATCGGAAAGGTCTACGTATTTAACTACGTGGATGAAAAACATAAAACTCACTACATTTACCCTGGCCGTTGTAGGGCAGGTTTAAATAAAAATAATTAAAAATTATTAAAAATTAAAAAATCAAATTAAAAAAGGGGAGTTGTTAAAAATGAAAAAGCGCAATGACAAAACGATGGTAAAAATGTTGTTTTTTGCCTAAATCACACACAGACCGTGTACGGTGGCCCCAACACAGTTTTATAAAAAAAAATGTCACAATTTAAAAAAAATATGTGTTTGCGTTCAGAGGAAATAAGTCTCAAAAATATCATATCGACTTATAAAAATCACCTCTGGAGCATTCCTGAAAAATTCTCCAATAAAAACGTTCACAACAATAACAATATTATCATTATTAGGCATATTATCATTATTATTGCAAACAAAAAAATGCCAAAAGTATTATTTTTTTTCCTGTTCGCCTATAGTCGTTAAAGAAAACAAAAATTAAAAAAACAAAACACTGGTACACTTATATTTGTACCCATATGTTTTTATATAAATATATCGTATATAATAAATGTATATATACGTATATATAAAAATAAATGTTGGATTTTTCAGAGAAAAATAAATAATTAGGTAGGTAATGCAATATTATGCAAATCAACAAAAATAAAATGATAATAATGGTGTGCTTATAAATTCAAATACCGTGATGGCCTATTTATATATTTAACAAGGGTTGGTGCGATTATTTTTAGAAAATAATAAATCAGACTTGTGCGATTTCAAATATTATCAAAGGAACACAAAAGAAAAGTGATGTAAAGTAAAACAAAAAAGCTTGAATTATATTTACACATTAAATCTAATATTCAACTGCACATTAAACAAATTCTGTCAATGAACGCGTAATATTCAATCGTTGTCTGCAAGATCCGATGTTTTGATTTATAGTTTTGCGGAATAGTGCTAAATAATATTACAATTATCAGGAATTTTTAAAACAATCGTATCGCGAAAATTGAATATCGAAATATTTCAAATATTAAATATTGTTATATAGGGAATAAAAGCATTTGCTCAGTTGTGAATTCAAATCGATAATTACGATTTTTATTTTGGTCTTGCCATGATTAATGTAAATATTTTTTTATTTTTTTTTACTATATTTCATTCAACAAATATTGTTATAATATATTATATAAGTATTAAATTTTAACGTGAACACGTGTATTATATTAAAGGGTTTTGTTAAAAGTGAAAAATTTATCTGTAAAAAATAAAAACCGTTGTGAATAATAAAATAAAAGTCACTCAACGATTCATTATAAGCCACGACTTATACGAATAACGTCGTAAATAAATTTTACTGTTATATTAATAAATCGTATCATTTAATTGCAGTTGAATATTGTGTCGTCATCTATCGAGTTGTACTTAAGTTTACGAATAAATATTATTCAAGTGTTAGATTATTCGAGTATCTAAATATGTGTTAGAATTCAGCACAAGGCGTGTCGCGAGAGTTTATCAATTCTGATTGAAAATCGACAAACCTTCGCGACGCGCCCCGCAGAGCCCTTGATTCAGCCGACCGCGATACAATCGAACGATTATTTTACTAAATTCAATAATTATATTCCGTTTAAATCGATCGATTACAATATAGGAGGTAGGCACAAAACGAACGCTTTTGAACGAGACGCGACTGTCGCAAAGGGGAAAAAATAAAAGTAAATGAATAAATAGTAAAGTTATGCAATTCCCTGCGTGATATTAATGAGATAAAAATAATAATTGGTCGATCGTTTCGCTTCCGGCTACAATGTATTATTATATATCATTAGTTGTATAGTAAACAATATTGAGATTTCGGCGGTGAGACTGTTGAAAACACTTACGTCGAGTGGTTTCTTTAGAACGATCCATCCGGATTCCGGTTGGATCTCGAAGTATTCCAGATCGTCGCCCGGATACGGGGCGGTCAGCGAATAAACGATCGCGCCGTTGTTGTCAGCGTCCTCGTCGGAAGCCGACACTCTCAAGATGTTCGTACCGATGCTGGCGTCTTGTTTAACGTTCTCCACGTATTTCTATAATATATTATCACGGATAGCGTGTCAGACGATTTGGCCGAGTTTAAATGTGAACTCCGCACGCGTGACGATACGAATCCAGTGCTCGAATTGTGGGTGGGCGATTGGGTGGGTGGGTCGGGGAGACTGAGCTCCACTATGGTATTTTTTTTTGCGTAGGTATCTCAATTTTTTTTACTTGGCTGGTGGTACAGCACAAACTGTTTGTGCAAAACCATTTTTATTAAACATAATTATTGTCGCATGATGAATTTTATAAATTTTAATATCGATAATTTCAAAAATATTTTTGACATGAGCTTATAATTTCTTCTCATACGGTTTATGCCAGCAACTCCTATTGTGAACGGTATTGATCCCTTGTGGGTTATTTCCGATTTGAGGGTGCGTTTTACTTCAGGAAGCGCTAGGGGGGGAACCATTCTAATGTGGCTTAGGTTAGATTAGGATTTAGCACAGTTTGACAACTTCTGACAAAATCGTTTGTCATGTCTCAAAAGAAAGGTTTAAGATTGATACATTGAGCTAGATATAATTTTATTAGCAGGAAATCGTCAACCTACCTCAAGGTAGTCATCACTAGTCAAAAGTAATTTTTCTGTAATTATTTAATAGCCAATTTTATATTATGTTCATATAATTAATAGTTTTAGTAGATTTAAGAATTAAGTATATAAAATAAAAATTGTTTAAAGAGTTTTATCTTTTAATTAAATTGAATAGCATAAAAATGAAACTACAATCTTTTTGTCCGGAGGGAGGGAGGACAAATCGAACACTGGATTCAATAACAATGTAATTCGTTCAGATCATTTTGACCATCAGCGACCGTTAAGAACTTAAAAAATCAGGAGTCCGAAAACTATATAAAAACTATTGCAACGTATAATGTAATACTAATTTAAATGTTTTCCATTATTTTGTGTATGAAAAGATAACAAATAAACTGTTATTTTTCCTTAACTTACAACGTGGACCACGTCCTACAATGTGATCTAAGGTTTAGTTAATTTGATTACAAAAATTGGTCATCTTCTTACCATACGTCATGATTGCAAGATTTTTAATTGGATTTTGATAGCCAAGTGAGGGCCAATATGTACTGAACGAGTTATAACCTCGCGTAGTATAATATTATATTTTAAATTACTTGTCGGTCGAACAATGGTGGGTTGTCGTTGACGTCGGTTATCTCGACCGTGAAAGAGCAAACGCCTTCCAATGACGGATCTCCCTGGTCGGTAGCTTTAATCGTAACGGACACAAATTTGCCATCATCGCCTTCTCGATCAAACACCTGCAATCAATTTCGCAAATTATTAGCTGCCACTTAGGTTGTCGTTCAAGATTAATCCAATAGCAAATTAAGAATTAATAAAGTATCAAATTTGGTAAGACAAGTTTTTTGGAAGCCAAATGTATTTTTTATTTTTAAATTCATATCAAACAATCATACGTAGTCATTGTAGTAATTATGCTTAGTCAGATATATGGCTGACCGGGCTATACAAGCTGCAGACATCTTTAGGAAAATTAGAATTCCGAGAAAAAAAATATTTTACACTAACAGCATATTTAGGGAATTATTTAAGTGATTGGTTTAAATATGATACGCGCTCAATTATATATCATTTGAAAATTGATTAGAGTTATAACACTAATAAAATAACATTCTTTCATTATAATTTATAAAAAATGTACAATAATCTTATTTAATATAATATGTGAAAAGACTAAGGGAACTGATGGGTTCTCAATGGTCAGTGACGAAAGTTTCATTATTCTAACATCAGCGGGGCGAATAGACATACAATAATAATTTCTAAAAGGGACGCGGGACGGTAAAAGCACCCCTTTGACGGAAATTGAAATCTGGAACCCTGAAGTTAAATCTGAATACCGGGGTGGTGGAGTAGCCAAGTAGGCATATCACCATTAATACGTTTTGATAGAAACTTTTTCAACTATACATCCGGTTCCATGCTGTTACGTAGAGTGGACGTTTGTCTATATAGTGTTGTGTATATGTGGCCCAGATACAAAACAACACAAATGGAAATTATTTGAGAGCGTTTAGAGAACTAAGAGAGTAATTCTAAGTTCTGCTGAAATTTTTTGTGTCAAATCTAAAGTTTTTCAATACTCATTTATATTGAAAGTAAGTTTCTCAATGTAAAAATTTAAATTTTTATTCTAATCGAGCTTACTTTTTTACTCGAGACGTGTAAAATTTAGAAATACGCATTAAGTATGTTTCATAGCATTGAAAATAAATTGTACCTACACATTTTAATGATTGTATTTATTTAACTATTATGTTTTTAAACATAATCAACAAGTAATGATAGCATTTAATATTTGTGCGGTAGTATTCGCAGTATTGATATTTCATCACAACGAAAATTAATGTAAAAAAAACAAATAATACAAGTTTTTTTAAATGGAAATTCCTTTCTAACATCGCTTATATATAGTGACCGATAAAATGTAATGCCGAGATCAGAACACTGCAGTAGAATAATATCGTATAATAATACAGTGAAATAGATAGAACGCTTGTAAAGTTGTAAGACTTGAAATGTAATTAAGAAGTACAATAAAACTCTAAGCCAAGTTCTCTATCCCAAACAATTGCATTATTGAGATGATCTTGTAATGCACAAGGGGTGGCCAAATGGCCGCTGGCGAACAGAGAAATTAATGTTTTTAATTATTATTTTTGTCATGGTTAGTTTTTCACTAATAATCATTTTGTTTTTTGTCTTTCTTTTCTTTGGACAAACGCTCGTGTGTGTGTGTGTGTGCACCATATATCGAATTCCCTAAGATTCAAGAAAGCTATCCAAGAAATAACTAACCAGTGATCCCTGTCGTAACATATTGAATCGATTTTGGATATAATCGTTTAGTCACACCGTTTCATCAGTTCTGGGAAGTTTTCCCATAAACTCACCCAAACAAATAAAACGCAATGCTGCATAATACAATATAATGTACCTATATATCACATAAAAATCAATAACGCCATAATGGAACCGACGTGATAAATTCACTTWTACTTTCTACACCCATAAATTGTATACACATCGAAAACGGTGTCGGTGTCAAAAATATTATATTCGTTCGAAACGAAAGTGAATTAGAGAAAAAATTCGATGGTTACGGTAAAAATTGTAACACTATATACAATAGATAATATAATAAACTTATATTTATACTGAGTAATTCTTTAAGCATGATCACCCCCTTTAATAGTACATTTATTCAAATTCTGATATTTTTATGTAGGTACTACTTAAGAAGTATCTTGTGTGGATTCCAACTTCTATTTTTCAAATGAAAACCTTCCTTTTATACTGAAAATTATATAGTTCATTATTTATCAAAATCAAAATTCTAATGAGTAGTTTCTGAGTTAATAAAATGTTTATATTAACGATAATAATCCTTAAAAACGGTTTTATAAGAATAAAAACTATATGGAATGTTACATATAGTATTTAATATTTATTATACTTGGATCATTTTTACAAATTATTTACATTGATAAATCAACAGTAATAGCTAACTTTTAAAATCGTCTAAGTCCCTATATCTACTCAATCCATTACCATAGACATATTATCCTTAAAACATAAAGTTACATAACTCAAATACTACTAGCTTGAATATTGATTTAGATACATAAAAATTCTCAACAAGAATCTTCTTATTAATAAAAAAAATAAAAATGAGAAGTTCCTATTTGAAAAACAGAAGTTTTTCTTGTCCTCAAGTGGTACAGAAAATGTGAATGTTTCGAAAAATGGTCTTCGAGTGTATTAAAAAAATTCTAAAAATCTGAGTTTTAATATAATATGCATAATTTAACCATAACAATAGGGTGATCGTACTTAAAAAAACACCCTGTGTCCCTGTATAATAGCGTCACTTATAAATTGTGTTCTTACACAGTTCTGGAAAGGTATAATTAATAAATATGTTGTAATGTCCGTACCTTGTTAGTAGACACTTCGCCAGTTTCTTCGTCGACTGTGAACTTTGTGCCTTTTTGATTCGGCTGCTGGACGATCGAGTATTTCACTTGACCGTTGACGCCCTTGTCCTCGTCAGTCGCATGCACCTGTGGGTCAATTATTATTTTTTTTATTAATTAATAGAATGTTATCATATTTATAATTTATAGACTATATAGTATATTTATATAAGATAATATATATGTAAGCCGTAACGAACGGCGCTTTCCACTCCACCCAACTCTTGAGACCTGGCGACCGAGTATATTAATGAGAAGGAAAGAAAATACAGAATAGTTATACAGATAGTAAATCATGGATTAATTTACTTTTATTTCCGTTATCAATATTCCAGCAATAAATTTTATTATAGTAAAATTATTTTATTTCATTTAAAAATATTCTTGATGTCTGTCCGTAATCATGATTATAGAGCTCAGATTTCGAAACAAATAATTTTTTCAGAAATGCTTGACATGATATTTTTTAATACATAAATGTGTTTCAAGTGTATATATACTATGCTATAACTATGCATTTTTAGAATTTGTCTAGGTTTTTATTCTATGTTATACCACGAAAAAAAAATGTAATAATATATAAAAAAGACCAAATATTAAAATAATCTGGTTTTTAGATAAAAAGGTTCACAAATTTATATTGCTTCGAGAGAGTTTTTTTCCGACATATTTTACGGTTTTAAGCTCTTATGAATTCATTATTTTAAATGGCGTTTTTGAGTTTATAGTCCATGAATGCACTTTTTGAAGAGACTGGTCCTAATACCATAGGCGTGTCTAGACCTTTGGCGCAGAGGGTGCAACTTGGTGTGTACCCAAGAGGCTATTGGGCCCTATCCCCCTTTTTTGAATAATTTTTCTTAATAATTCATTGTGCCTCTTGAAATTGCAGAGGGTACAGGTGCATACTCAGCACCCCCCCCCATGGACACGCCTATGCCAGCTAATACTATGATATATTTGGCATTATAGGCATGACACAGTGATTTACCACAAACCTCGAATACATCAAACACATACAATTGACTATTATTAGTTAATACGATTTAAATTTATTTTTTACTAGAAATTATTGAATATTATGAAAGCTACCATAAGTATCAATTAAATAAATTCAAATTGTCAGATAAAAATAAATGAATTGATCAGTGAACTATATTAAACGTATTCTGTTTCATAAATATCTGCGTATTTATGTGATCATGATCAACTATAGAATTGTATGGGCGCTTGTCGTAAATTCTACTTGAATAATAAAGAAAAAGCGAATTTTTTGGGTTATTCGACTGTAACACAATAGTGAAATAGACGTTATCGTGTAAGTAACCGTAAAATATTTATGAAATTTCATAATAAAGATCACCGCCGATTACAATTTACGTCAGACGCACCTCAAGGTTTATGTTTGGATAGGGTAAGGGGAGGCTTAACAAGTTTTCGTACATCCAACCACACATAGGTAATTACCATACATTTGACTCTCATGAGATCGACCGGGATCGCTATTTTAAATTTTCCATGTAAATTGTGGCACGATTGTATATATTGAACACATAATATGTAAATCGCAGCCCGAGTTTATTTTGTATATATTATTAATATGTAAATTATGTCCTACATATTTTTATTCATACATAAATTATTTCCGTGGGGATATTTTCGACAAATCAATATTTTTTAAACTCATCAGGAACGACGAGGACCGACAATATAACAATCCCATCAATATTGATATGGTTTGAAATATGGGTTTTCATGATTTGTAAATAATATACTAATGAACCGTTTTTTTTTTAATTGACTTTATAATTAAGTAACTGATCTAAATACATGTGTTCAGGTATTTCCACCAACAAAGACTAAACGATTAATTTAATTTACGTATTATATTATGACAACTGTTAACTTTTTTGGGGAACAAAATTTATCTACGCTTATCCCGAGATAGGTTAGACCAGCCGCGGTTCTCATTAGGATTTTAGAACGAGCCAAAGATAATTTTTGAAAATCACTTGCGGTCAGCTTACATTTTTTTTGCCATATTTATTTTAACTAGTACAATCTTTATCAAATATTTTTACAATAAGCTCAATAGATCTCTATCTAACACATGCATACGACGGCTTGGTAGTTGACTTGATTGAAAAAACTATTCAATAATAGTACTTAACGCTAACATTTTTAATTACAATAATTAACAATATAACAATGTTCAACTGTTCACTAAATTTAGAGAAGAAAAGTAAAAAGAAAAAATATAAATAAAATGAAACAAGATATTTTGTTAGGAAAGAGTATTTTAGGAAATGTTCACGAATGACTCAAATGTTTTTCTTAAACTTTGGATTTTGGATTTTAGAATGTACAATTTAATTTTAGTGCGGGTGGCATGTGGTCCGKGTTAGACAATAATAGTTATGATTTTTACGGTTGTAATTATTAAGTTACGACTGCTCTACCTAATCACCTGTACATAAATCCAAAAAATAACCTAACGAAATACTCGATTGCCACAATGGTCGTGATATCATGTAAAATATACTGCAGTGATGATAACGTGATGTAAAAATAGTTTTTTTCCGGAGGAATCATTAACCCTAAAGCCCTCCCCCTCCAGGGTTTGGCACCGTTAAAATGTAATCGTCACTATACACCAGGCCATAAATTTATTTTTGATTAAAAAAATAATAATAATAATATTATAACACGACTCGCATACCTTGAGCACCGGACTGCCGTTCGGCGCACCCTCTTCGACTTTGGGGTTGTACTTGGCACATTCCCTGAACACCGGTTTGTTGTCATTGACGTCCGTGATGAACACCACCACAACCGCGGTACTGGTGTGTATGGTCGCCGCACCGTTCACGCAACACGCGCCGTCGTCCACGGCGGTCACGTTCAGCTCGTACTTGTCCCTTTCCAGCGATATCGACTTCGAGTGCAGCCGGATGACGCCGGTGATCTCTTCGATAACGAACTGACCTGATGACGTACCACTGCCCACAAATCCGAACCTGAAATCACGTCCGACGGGTATTAAAGTATAATATAGTGAGTGTACGAAACAAAACGCATAGTGTGCGAAAGTTTTGATCGAATTAAATTTAGCCTCTGCGTGATTATGGGGCCATTGGTTCTTATATTATGGTTTATGTATTTTAAAGTAGGTATAGTCTGCTTGTGTCTATCGACACGGGCATTTGAATCTCCAAAATCGCAGTTGAAATTGGTATCGAAATATTATATATGTTTGTATGATATGAGATTGGAATTTGAGTCGCGTACTCGCGTGTGTTAGCTACACCCCACGCGCTTTGCTTTTGATTTCAAGACAAGCGAAATATTTTCAAAAAAATGTTTTTGAACATTTCAAGGAAAGATTACGTAGATGATATGGTATGCTTCTTCAAAACAGAATTTTCGTATTTTCATGTTGAAAATAATTTTAAATAACTAAAAGACACGAGTATGGATAAAAGTTCCATAATTGTAAATTTTTCAACAAAAAGCTCGACATTTCAAACAGTCGACTGTTAAAATTTAAAAAATTTAACGAAAAATATGTAATAATACAGAATATTACAGAATATTACCATGTTATATGTTATTGTAAATTTAAAAACAAATTAGAAGATTAGAAATATGGATTCACGTTTTTAATCAGGACGAAGTATTAAAATTTAAAAACAATTTTAATTTATTTACTGTTTAAAAAAGAATGGAGATTCGTTTAGGTACACTTACTTGTGGTTGTCTCACTGAAATTCAGTGGTTAGGCATCGGTAAAATAAATATTATATAATTCAACTAGAAACGCGCAGTTTTATAATTATAAAATTATTCCAATAAACTTCAACGGTTACATTAATAATTTGACTGAAAAATATTAAGTTCTCGTACAATAGCCAATAGGTACGTACGTACTATTATTTATCAATATGTTATAGATGTACGTGTAACAATAATATAGTTATTATGTATA